TGTCAGCACAACCTTTGAAATGTGGGTTTTCCTCCTGTACTACATTTCAGACACATCTTTGCGGGCTGATAAATGCATACCTCCGTTGACGCTCTTAATGACACTGTGCATATTCACCTATGGACAAAGATTTATCTTAATACCATTTTCTAGCTAGTATGTGCTGACTTTTGCTCTTATCTTCGAGTTACAAGCTTTAATTTTACCAAAATAAACAGTCCTCAGCGAGACATATTATGTCATTTTTTTATTACTTTTCTTTGGCTAAATTACCATTGGTAGAATTCTTGGGGTACTCACATACTTCAGATGTGTTTATTCATGATTCCCAGACCAACTTTTACTCACACCCTCCCAAAGCCAAACCAAGTACTCCGTGAGTTCCTAGCACCCTAAACCTCCCCAGTACTGAGTTCGAGCATCCGCACAGCTATAAGTCTGATAGAGAGAAGCACATCTTGTCATTTTGACTTTGACTTGTCATGATTCCTTTGGTCACCAGGGAAGTTAAATTTGTTTTAAATGTTGGCTGATCAACCTTGCAGATTAATTTTTTAACTCTGTTTGAGAAGATTTCAAAAGCACTAAAGAGAAAAAATGCTCAGTAGTCATCCAGCCTCAATATTTATTAACCAGTAGTCAATCTTGTTCCCCTATGTTTTCCTCATAAACACAAATACATCAGCATATCTTAAATCCCAGACATCGTATCCATTGCATATTTTCCATATGCATTTTATTTCAAGGATCAGGTTGGCTTTGAATTTGTTCTGTAGCTGAGGCTGGTTTCTTGATCTTCAGGCTTCAGTTTGCTGAGTGCTGGGAATACAGGCATGAATCACCATGTCTGGCTTCAACATGTATTTTGAAAAAAAAAATCTTCTTTTAAAAAATAATCATAATGTTATCAAACTTGAAATAGAGCAATAATTTGTTTAAAATACCACAAGAATCTAGTCAGTGTTCATATATCTGACTCTCTCTCTCTCTCTCTCTCTCTCTCTCTCTCTCTCTCTCTCTCTCTCTTCTTTTTGGTGCTAGGGATCAAAACCAGAGTCCAGTCTATGCTAATCATGTGTTCTACCATGGAGCTATGCCTCCAGTCCATGCCTCGTGTTTTTCCTTTTCCTTCCCCACAGGTGATGTACTGAATTGCGATCTGTACAAAGCCCACACATTTGCATGTGGTTGCTGTGTCTCTTTGATTTCCCTTCCTCTTTCTGTCCCTCCCTTTCTTCTGTAATGAGGTGAAACTCAAATCATTACCATCCTCAGAGCCCTTGCTCGCTTGAGAGAGGGTCTTGCTTTGTATCCTGGTTGGCCTGGAACTCAGGTCTCTTGTCTCTGCTGAACAACCTCTCTATCACTGACTATGTTCTCATCCCTGGGTTTTTTGAGCCAGGGTTTCACTATGTAGCTCAGACTGGTTATGAACTCACTATGTAGCCTAGGTTAGTCCAGACCTTGTGGTTCTCCTGCCTCAATGTCATGAGTAAAGGGAGTACATGCATACTCCATCACAACCAACTGCAATAATCATTTTAAAGAGTATGATTTGTAGACCAGTTTATTTACAACTCTGTGCAGACACTGCTGGCCTCTAGTTTGAAAAATATCATCATTCTGGAAAGTACCTAATAGGCACTCCTACCCTGTTGCTCTCTCCCACCATCCCCTGGTAACCCTTGGTCTTTCTGTCTTTGTGAATTTGCCTATTCTCTTATTTTATACACATATGTATGTATGTATGTACGTACGTATGTTTGTATGTATGTATGTATGTATGTATGTATGTATCTATCTATCTATCTATCTATCTATCTATCTATCTATCTATCTATCCTCTTCCTTCTATTGACTTTCCTTTTTTTTTTTGGTTTTTCGAGACAGGGTTTCTCTGTGTAGCTTTGCGCCTTTCCTGGGACTCATTTGGTAGCCCAGGCTGGCCTCGAACTCACAGAGATCCGCCTGGCTCTGCCTCCCGAGTGCTGGGATTAAAGGCGTGCACCACCACCGCCCGGTGACTTTCCATTTTTGAATGAATTGAATCATCCTCCCCAGTGGGTTCCCCCATCTGGATTTTTCTGATTATCCATCCCCAGTTTCTTGTACTTTTGGCTAATTAGTGATCAGATTTGGCAACAAGTTCAGGTTCAGATGTGATTCTTGTTTTATTTCAGGATCTTTTGTATTTACTCCTGTGTATTTGTATGACTTTACATGAGGGGACATTTACCTTAATTTGTTACAAGATCAATCAGTGGGCTCAGATATTATCAGCTTGGTCCACTTAGTATCAAGTCTCCCGTTATCTAGGTATGTGTGTGTGTGTGTGTGTGTGTGTGTGTGTGTGTGTGTGTGTGTGTGTGTGTTCATTCAGGTGCACGTACACACATGTGCACTTGTGTGTAGAAGTCAGGGGTTGGTGTTGGGTGTTTCAATTGTTGTGATGAAATGCCATGACCAAAGCAACTTGGGGAGGAAAGGGTTCATTTGGCTACATTTCACATCATTATTCATCATTGAAGGAAGTCAGAGCAGGAACCTGGAGGCAGGAGCTGATGCCATGGAGGAGCGATGCTCCCATGGCTTGGTAGGCCAGCTTTCTTTCTTTCTTTCTGTCTTTCTTTCTGTCTTTCTTTCTTTCTTTCTTTCTTTCTTTCTTTCTTTCTTTCTTTCTTTCTTTCTTTCTTTCTTTCTGTCTGTCTGTCTTTCTGTCTTCTCTTTTTATCTCTTTAAGCCTACAGCACCCGGTATTCCCAGGCGGTCTCCCATCTAAGTACTAACCAGGCCCGACCCTGCTTAGCTTCTGAGATCAGACGAGATCGGGCGCCTTCAGGGTGGTATGGCCGTAGACTAGGCCAGCTTTCTTAGCACTCAGGACTATCTGCCCAAGGGTGGCCCCACCCATAATGGGGTGGCCCATCCTCCATCAATCACAAATTAAGAAAACGCTCTGCAGGTTTGTCTACAGCCTGATCTTATGGAGGAATTTCCTCGGATGGTGTTCCTTTCTCTTACAAGACTCTAGCCTGTGTCAGGCTGACATAAAATTAGCCATCACAGTACCTTCTTCTACCATGCTTGCCTCATCTTTCTGTCGCATTTTAACATTTATAATGCATTTTGTGTGCATGCATGTGGGCACACAAAGGCCATGGTATGTGTGAGAAAGTCAGAGGTCAACTTTGGGAAGGGCTCTTTCCTTCTGTCCAGTAGATTCTGGGGACTAAACTCCGATCTCTGGGTCTACACGACCTCTCAGTTCAGCTTCCCAGTGGTGCCTGGCTCACTCCAGTCTTCCATATGCAAAGTCTCAGGAGAGAGAACTGCCAAGTTCAGCTGGGTTCAGTGGCTGGGTGGGGTGGGGTGGGTGGGGGCATGTGGTGTTAGGACTTCTCCAGCTTATCTGCCCCTTCAGGGCTCCTTTAGGAAGGGACTGCAGGGAGGGATTTGTGGCTTGGAGACGTTAAGAAATGATTGACACTTTTAGTACAAGCACTCAGTAGGAGCTGCTGGACACCTCTCCTTTGTTCTTCAGTCACAAGTTCCTAACATTATTTTACCCCCAAGAGCCATCCTGCTTAGGTGCTGGACTCTTTTCCTATCGTCCATGCTTATCCCTCTGTTTCAATATGGTAATTTTGTATCTTAAAAATCTTATTTATTTTTATTTTATGCCTGCATGTATGTATGTGTACCACATATGTGCACGGTGCCTATGGAGGCCAGGAAGGGGCATCAGATACCCTGGTTCTGTAGTTACAGATGTTTGGGGGTGCTGGGAACTGAACCAGGGTCCTGTGCAAGAACAACAACTACTGAGCCATCTCCCTAGTCCCCGACTTTGCATCCCTCAATAAAACTAGTGCCGGGGTCACCTCCCGGGATCTCTCTCCACTCGCTCAGGAGTGAGCGGGTTGGAGCAGCTGCTCTTCCCCTGCTCCCCAAGGTCAGACTCTTGAGCACACTGTACTTGCTTCACTACAAGCTCCTTGAAGATGGGCATCTGCCCTACTTAGCTTTCACCTCAGTGCTTTGCCCAGATCTCGACGACAGGGACTCAGCAAACGTGGGTGGGAAGCTTTCTGACCTCTTCTTCCGTCCTTGGAGAGCCTCCCTAACCTCCTTGTAAATGCTCTTGCACCATCTAAGAAGCAAACCGGATTTGTCTTGGCAATAGAGTCCAAGCACCTTGGGCAGGAGAAGCAAGTCTTGTGCTATTTTTCTTCCTTTTAAGGTACTGGGAGAGGCTCACTGGTACTTGTTTGTTTATTTTTACTTTTCTATTGGATAGCATGAAGTTCTAGCCGCTCAAACAAAACTTTAAAAAATAATGGTTGACAGAATCTCCTTGTTGTTCTGATCTAACCATTCAGGGGCTGGGGGGTTGTGACAGAACTCTTTCCCACTGAGAACACAGAAGCACTGTTAACCCATTACTTCTTACAGCCTATTGGCTAGTGCTTACTACTCAACCATACATAGCTGCAAGGTAGTCTAGAAAATGAAAAGTCGAGCTTCTGTGGAAGATGATGGAGAGGATGACATCAAGGAACAGCTTTCAAAGTCTCTTATGTACCCAAATAATACGGTCAGGGTCCTTTCTGAGTCTCTTCTTCTTCAACAGACTAATTTAAAAACATTTAAATTCTAAAAGCATGTGCTTTCATCATAAAAAGTTTAGATGCACATAAAGAACAATATAAGAAAATCTCCAGCACCATCAGCCATACTCCTTTTCAGAGCTAAAGGCAAGTAACTGTTTGGTATGTTTTCCTCCAGACCTTTGAATATGTTTACACGAGTGTGTGTGTGAACACACACATGTACACAAACACACATTCATATAGTTCCTTGTAGATGGAAGTTTACATATATGTACTTTCAAATAAAGCTATAACAATAAATATACAGTAGAACCATTTATTTTTCATTAGTAATTTGATTTTTTTTACTTTATAATCTCTAATAGATATTTAATATCAATACATAATAGTATTTCATGATATGGATAAATCTTTATTTACATATTCTTTGTTGGTAGACTGTTTAGAAAACTGCCATTGTATAAAATTTGACCTCTGTAGAGTTCATGAGCTCTCTGCTTTCATTAGACACAAAACAGCAAGTCCAACCATTGACATATTATGTGACCAAATCATTATTTCTGCAGCTAGAAGGGGTAGCTGAAATGTCTCAACTGTCTCAGAGATGGGTCTGGTTAATAATCAAATCTCTCACATTTGCTTAGTACATTCCTTAAAACATTGTGGACTGTTTACTTCTTCCTGTATTCCTGGAAGAGAGTAGGGCAAGATTCATCATCCCCAAACACCAGATGAGTGGGAAGCCCACAGGAGGCTTCTGGCTGTTGTTGAGAGCAGACCTCAGGAAGACCATGTGTCTGGCCTCACACTCCACATGCACGTGGTTCCTGCCCACCTTGGGCTGGTCTCCTAAGTAGTCACATCTGCTTTCAAATCCTGAGGCCAGGAGCACAAACATTCTCATGAGCCTCCCAGTGATTGTCTCTTGGCCTTCAACGGCAAATCCAGATTGTCTACAAAGAGAGTATTCAGGTTAATGACAATCTATCTGAAGACAAACAGAAAAAGGGTAAAAGTGAGCTAACCCAACCATTCAGCAACTCTAACATGAATCTTCAAAGGTCTTATTAATAAAAAACCTAGAGCCAGATATTCAGTCAGGGTGAAAGCTGGAAGATCAGAGGAATGGAACAAACCACAGCTAACCCCACCTTGACAACTCCTCAGCTGATCCTGTTTCTACAAGTCCTCAGACTGAAAGCCTCTGAGTCCTTACCCAGAAGGGCTCTCAGCTGAACTGCCTAAAAGTCTCTAGTTCCTGGTCCTCACGCCTTATATACCTTTCTGCTTCCTGCCATCACTTCCTGGGATTAAAGGCATGTGTCCTTACCAAGCGAAGACATGAGATCTCAAGTGCTGGGATTAAAGGCATGTGCCACCATTCCTGGCTCTGTTCCCAGTGTGGCCTTGAATTCACAAAGATCCAGATGGATCTCTGTCTCCTGAATGCTAGGATTAAAGGTGTCTGGCCTTTATGTCTAATCTAGTGGCTGGCTCTATTCTCTGATCCACAGATAAGTTTATTAGGGTGCACAATATATTGGGGGACACAATATGTCACCACAAGAAACTGTGTTAAAGGCCCAAGTGGGCTTGCCTGAATTTACCCTATATGTTAGTGGCAGAGCCAGGACTATGTCTCTTGATTTCCTCTCTAGACCATTTTTTCCCTTCTTTCCTTTCCTTTTCTTCTCTTTTGAGATCATATCTACCTATATAGCCCAGGCTAACCTGGACTTGCTATATACCTCAGGCTATCCTTCAATTCAAAATCTTACTGCCTCAGCCCTCTGACTGCTGACATTACAGGTGTATGGCACTACAGCCAACCTACTCTTGGCTTCTTTTTTCTGCAGCTCACAAATGCACTGATAGAGGGCATTGTGCACTAGCAACAACAACCCTGGGAGGCACAAAGCCCAGGAGGTAATCCAACAGTGCCTTAGGTAGGGCATGTGAGATGAAGCAGCACCGGAGGAGAATCATGTGTGAAGCAATTCCCATGCCGCACAATGTCAATGGGCCCTTCACAATGGGCTCCTCAACACCTAGCTGCTCCTGCCTGCTTCCCCCCTGATGGTTTTTTAGAAGCGCTCTTACCCCCAAGGAAAAGTCCTGAAACTTGACAGAATCCACTAACAAGAGTTTTATCAAGACAAGGAGAAAGGGATAGATGTGATCAGGCCTGTGGAAGAACACATGTGAGAAAGAGGGTGGGGGGAACATGGGGCCTGTCTTTTAAAGGCCAGGCTGCACCTGCACACACAGGCATGTGCATAGATCACGTGGTCACACCTGCATGATTACATGACCATGCAGTCATGGGGCATGGGTTATACAGAATATATGACCTGGAAATGACTAGGTGGAGATGACTAACTGTCCCGCCAGGCATGCACAACCATGGGGACATGGCTGGAATTCCTATCACCCCCTCATCTGAGAAGTAGGTTTGGGCAGGGCTTGAGCTACCCTTTTCCCATTGGGCTCTGTCCTAGAGAAGGTCCAGTTATCATGTTCATAGACCCCCAATAACCACCCCACTTACCAGACTGGCTGAGGGCTATCATTACAGAAACCACAGTTTCTAAACCCACTATCAGAACCTGAAAGCTGATCTGTTCTGGGAAAGAGAGAAAAGGCCTGTGAAACACAGACATGCTGGGGAGTGCAAGAGACATGTTGGGACAAATGCAGAGGTGAGACACTCATCGAGCTTTAGGAAATAGGGAGAGATGCAGTTTCTTCTGCTAAGGCTAAAATCTGTGCTTCCAAATGGGCCCCTAAGAGCACCCAGAATTAAATGGTCTAGGTGGGGTGTAAGTGTATTCTGGAGCAGCTTTGGATTTCCAGACAGATGATGAATGGAAGAACTGATGTTCTAGTTTATCAATCAGACTTTAATCTCCTAATTATGACTCTATACCGATGACTGTGTGTCAGGCACTGTGTGGTCTATGGTGTGTCCTATACCACTGAAGTGTAGTCACTGGAATGTCAACTTATCATTAGTCCATCCATCCATCATCCACCATCCATCCATCCATCTGTCCATCATCCATTTATCCATTCATCTATCATCCATCCATCCATCATCCATCATCCATCCATCATGTATCATCCATACATTATCCATCATATATCATCCATCCATCATCTAGCCATCATCCATCATCCATCCATCCATTATCCGTCATCCATCCATCCACCCATCATCCATCTATTCTTCATCCATCATATATCATCCATCCATCATCCATCCATCATCCATAACCCATCCATCCCCCATCTGTTCATTCATCTATCTAGCCATCTCTCCACCCATCTACACATCCATTCATCTATCCATACACACATACATTCATTCATACATATATCTGAGCATCCATCTATCTATTCATTTGTCTTAGTTAGGGTTTCTATTCCTGTGAAGAGATACCATGAGCATGGCAACTCAATTCTTTTTTTTTTTTTTTTTTTTGAGACAAGGTTTTTCTGTGTAGACTTAGCTGTCCTAGAACTCACTCTGTAGACCAGGCTGTCCTCGAACTCATAGAGATGTGCCTGCTTCTGCCTCCCGAGTACTGGGATTAAAGGCGTGTGCCACCACTGCCCAGAAACCATGGCAACTCTTATACAGGAAAGCACTTAATTGGGGCTGGCTTACAGTTCAGAGGTTCAGTCCATTATTGTCATGGCAGGATGCAGGCAGACATGGTACTGGAGAGGTAGCTGAGAGTTTTACATCTGGATTGGTAGGCAGCAGGAAGGAGTGAGACACTGGGCCTGGCTTGAGCATCTGAGACCTCAAAGACTACCCTTAGTGACACACTTTCTCCAACAAAGCCAAAGCCACGCCTCCTAATTGTGCCACTCCCTCTAGCCACTTGTTTCGTTTTGTTTTTCGAGACAGGGTTTCTCTGTGTAGTTTTGGTGCCTTTCCTGGATCTCGCTCTGTAGACCAGGCTGGCCTCGAACTCACAGAGATCCACCTGGCTCTGCCTCCTGAGTGCTGGGGTTAAAGGCGTGCACCACCACCGCCCAGTGAGCCACTTTCATTCAAACCACCATACCATCCATCCATCCATCCATCTATCTATCCATCCATTCATCAATCATCCATCCATCCATTCATTCATCAATCATCCATCCATCCATTCATCAATCATCCATCCATCCATCCATCCATCAGTTCATCCATTTATCTGTCCATCTATCCATCCATCTTCACATCCATCTTTTCACCCATCATCCATCCATGCATGCATCCATGAATGCATTCATCTGTCCATCCACCCAGCCATCCAGCCAAAGATGCAGATCTTCCTCCTTCACAGTGACTGGATGGGACCCACACATAAACAAGACTCCACACAATGTGATAGTACAGTGTAAACTGATTTCTCCAAGAATCTGTCAAAGGCCTCCAGTCCCAATCACACCTCCCACCTTGTGAGTCAGAAATTAAAACACATTCATTAATCTCACCTAAAAGTCCCAAACAGTTCTGCTTCAAGTGGTAATAAATATTTCATGCCCAATTGTGTGGTGTTCCTAGCTGTGTTTATTAAATAGTTTCTCATAATTCCAGTTATTCATTTTAATAGGTCAGGCCTTGGCTGTGATTTAAACAGACCGCTGAGGAAACAGCCGTGGTTAAACATTGTAACAATATGGATTATTAATTTAATTGGCCGGCTATTACTTGTTTGGACTCTGAGCTAACACATTTAGTTCAGTCTCTAGTGGCCCATAAACCGCAAAGGTCATGACTTCAACATTCAGAAGAATGGGGAAAAGGCGTTGAGGCTGAGATTGGGAGGGAAACTTAAGAGCTGCGGGGGAAGGCAGCGTGGGGAGGCAGCCGGCTTGCTGCAGGCAGGGCAGGGCAAAGGGGATTCGTTTGTCAGCTCCTCATTAAAGCCTCTTCGGCAGCCCAGCCGCTGCCTGGGTTGGCAACTGCCAGGAGCCAGTATCTCCCTGGGATTTCTGAGAGGGCCAAATCCTTAGCTATGAAGATGAGATACCCAACCCCAGTGAGGCCTGGCCCTTTTCTGGATGCCTGAGCACGTGGCAGGCCCGTGCCTTGTAAAAAGCACGCGACTGGGGCAGGGAGTTCTTAGGGTAGCCCTGCCCACAGCCTTCCAAACCTTACTCCACCAAGCAAGGAGTCCTTCCTGGCCCCCTGGCTTTCCCAGACACCACCTAATGTCTACTGGATCCCCAAGACTCTGGGATCTACATGACATTAACTCAATCCAATGCTCCATGACCTGTGAATAGCCAAAGTCCCGCCTGGAGGGTCTGTGATTGCCCACATGAGCCTTACCTCTCTCTGCTTTGGATTCCTGCTTCAGCTAAGTTGGTTCAATATAGAGAGGAACTCCAAATCCTCCTGAGGGGTCTGAGGAGATGACTTCGTGGGTAAGGCGCTTGCTGTGCAAACAGGAAGACCTGAGTTTGAATTTCCAGCACCCACATAAGAGCACAATGATGCCCAACTGTAATCCTAGTGTGCCTAGGACAGAGATGAGGAATGGAGACGGGACTCCCTGGCTGGCCAGGAGACAAAATGCAGGCATCCCCAGGCTTAGTCCAGTGCTGACCTCTGGCCTCCTCGTGCTCACCATCTTCCCATACACACATGTAATGTGTCTACTGCCCACCATCCGCCCCCCCCCCAAAAAAAAAACTGACAACAAAAAACCCTGAGTTGGCCCAAACATGCAATACAGCCCTTTCCTCATTCACTTTAGGCATCTGAGAGTTGGGGAGACTGGATGGGAGGTTTTGGGGAAAGCCAGGTAGAGGCTGCATAAATGTAGTTCAAATGTCAGGAAAAGGAAGTTCTTGGTCCCTCCAGGCGGCTCCAAGGGCTGAGAGCATTTGTTGGCCTGCCTTGGGGTTCCCCAGGCCACTGCCACCTGCTGACTCTTGCCTCTGTTCTTGGTCTCAGTCACCTCAAACAGCTGTTCTCATTCAGGACCTCTGGCCAGTCTAGGAGTTCTGTGGGGTCTGCGAACTGGGGGAGGAAATTACATCTTCAGTTTTTGTATTGGGTAGCTTCCATCTTAATTTCAGGGTTTCCTTCTCACGTGAGGATAAGAAACAAACCACAGCCGTACCAGGTGTCCCCAGGGCTTTGTCACCACGAGAGTCTGTTTTATATGAAGATCCTGGGATATCAGGTGTCTCCCTTGGATTTACTCAGTTCTTGCTTGTCCTGGACTGCAGCATCTCTTCACCTCTATTAGATGCTTGCCAGACTAAACTTCCCAACTCTGGAGAAACTCCGGGCTGAGGAGTTCAGCCGCCGATGGTCGGGCTATGAGTTCCCACAATTGAGGGAAAATGCTAGAAACCTTGGAGGATTCATGTGCTCCTTGCACAGCAAGCTGTGCTTTTTAGAAATGCATTTTCAATAATTCATCTTTATGACTAAGACATCCCAACCCCAGGAAGCACTAAATTAAAACTAATCCGTTGAGTGGCCAGCATGTCACGTGTGTAAGCACTTTTTAAAACTGACCACGAAATAACATCCTTCATATAGATACCTTTACTCTGTGAGATTCTAGGGATAGACTGGAGCTCAGTCAGAAGAGTGCTTGTCTGGCATGCATGAAGCCCTGGACTCATTCCTGAGTACCACATAAACTGGACATGGTAGCATACATCTGCAACCCCAGGATTGAAGAGATAGAGGAATGAGGATCAGGAGTTCAAGGTCATCCTCAGCTACACGGTGAATTCCTGAAATACATAAACAACCTGAAATACATAAGACTCTGTCTCAAAAAATCATTGAAAAGTGAAATTTGAAATTGTAATCTGGGTATGGTAGTATGTGCCTCCTATCTTAGCACTTGGGAGGTAATGGCAGGAAGTTGGAGAGTTCAAAGCCACCCTGGGCTCCATGGTGATATTCAACATTAAAACAAAGTAAAAACCTAACTGCTCTGGTTTCATCTCTGTTGCTATGTTAAAATGCCCTGGCAAAAAGCAATTTAGGGAAAAATATTTATTTGGTTTATGATTCAAGGTTACAGTCCATTATTCCTGGGAGGTCACTTGAAGGACTTGGAGCTGCTGCTCACATCCATAGTCAAAAGGAGAGAAATAAATGCATGCATGCTTGTTGACCAGTTAGATCTTTCTGTTCTCACGGGTCTGGGGCCTCAACCCAGGAATGGTGCCATGCACTTGCCTGCTGTGAATTCCAGAATCAATTAAAGCAATTAAGATGATACCTCAAAAACATGTCCATAGGCCAATCAGGACTGGACAATCCCTCCCTCCTCAGGTGGTTCTACGTTGTGTCACTGACAAAACTAACCGTCTGGAGCAGGAGAAAAGTCTCAGTGGCCGATTTCCTGGGGACTCAGGTTTGGTTCCCAGCCCCCCAAGTGGTAGCTCACAACTGTCTGTAAGTCTAATCTCAGGGAATCCAACTCTCTCTTCTGGCCTCTGAGGGTGCTGCACATACATGGTACACATGTATACACCCAGACAAAACACTCATATACATAAAAAACAACAATCCTAACTATTACATCAACCAACTAAGCAATAAACAAAGAAACTGAAGATATATGTGTCGACTTATTACATAAATGAACTTATAAAACAACACACAGATTACTACATCACAATAATAAAACATTTGACAACAGCATTCTAATAATTGGCTTCCTTTTTGCCCTCTGCATTTGGTTTTATTCATTTGAGAATACTAACCTGAGAGGGAGTCCCTAGTCTTCCCAGAGCAATTCAGCTTCACTCAGGCTGCCTCAGCGTCACCAAACTCTGGCCTTTCTCTGAGAAGGCTCCAGCTTGCAGTGTGGGCATTCTCCTCCCAAGTCCTTCCCATCCCAGTTCCTCGATGGTCAGTCCTGTGCTGATGAAGAGGGAGAACACAGAGACGGGAAAATTGGCTCTTCGTATTTAGGAGCATCGGGCCAGTCATTCTGCAGCAGAAAGCGGTTGTTGCATTTGTCCAAGCCTGACAAAGGTGGAGGGATGGAGCGGAAGCAGTGGTTTGGGGATGGCAGAACTGTGCTCATTTCCCAGCTCCCTTCCTGCCTCACGGCTTCATGACTTTCACAGCTCTTACAATCAACGTAGAGAAGAGAGCAGAGAGATGCTCGGCCCCGGAAGTGGCACCGGCTGGCGTGTGAGTCAAGCAGACTTTGTCATCCCAGCAAATGTGTGACCAGTGCCTGCCACTTGCTGTCTGCGGATCAATGGACAAACGAGTGAAGGACCAGTTAGTGCTGATTAACGTTGTCTACTTGCCTGGGCGAAGGGACCTTCAGGTAGCTAAGAAAACATTTCCAGGCATGCTTGTGAGGACGAGATCAGCGTTTGAACTGGAAGACAGTAAAGAAGACAGCCCTCACCTTGAGGGTGGACATCAATGTACGAATGGCCTATGGAGGGCACGAAGAAGGGTGGATCTACTCTCTCTGAGCTGGGGCTTCTATCCTGTATCTTCTGCTCTAAACCAGTCCTCACTGATGAGCCAGGGAGGCAGCTCCGCGGGGAAGTGCTCGCTGCCCAAGGACGAGGTTCAGAGTCCCACAGCGCAGCACATACCTTAGTCACAGAGTTTCTGCTGTGGAGTTTGAGGGTCAGACAGCCTGGCCTGTGCAGTGGCAAACAAGAGACATTGTTTCAAGGTGGAGGATGAGGACGGACTCCCAAGGACCCCAGGTTGTCCTGACTTCTGTGCACACCCTGTGGTACATGAGTACCTGCACTCACAACACACACACATACACACACATGCACATGCATGTGCACATCATACGCACACAGATTTTTTTTTAAAGAAGGAATAAAATCATTGCTATTGGTCTCAGGGCCTTTGGTTCACACCAGGCCTTGCTCCATCCTCTCCCTGATCTCAGGCCCTTGGGTTTGGGTGTCCCTGACTCTCTAGCTTACAAACGACAAATCATAAGACTTCCACAACTGTGAAAGTCCCCAATAGTCACTATCCATCTACACATGTGTTGTGTATGCTACATCTGGACGGCAGAGGTAACCTGGAAAATGATATTGCCTGGTGACATCATTGTCTTAGCTTGTTCAGTAACTGGTGTTTACATGACCTAAAATCATCTAACATTGCATTTCTTAGAACATAGCATTGTTGCTGTGACACATGATTGTCCACACACACATACACAACTGTCCATACACATGCATGATTATACACACACAAACACACACACACACACACACACACACACAAACACACACACACACACACACACACACACACATACACATGCCCTATTGATTCTATTTCTCTTGAGAACCTTGACTAATACAACGGATTGACATCATCGACTAAGGAGAAGTCTATAAGCAGCTTTAACCCTTAGAGTTCCGAGACTGTCTCCCTTAACATGTATGTGTAGATGAAATGTGATTCCAACAAACACTGCAGATACCGGGAGAGGAAAAAGTCACGGAATGGTGTGCACTTGGGTCCTCGGGACTGAACTCAGGTCAACAGTACCTTCACCCACTGAACCGTCTGGCCCAAGGAACACGGCATTTTCCAACACCATGCTGCCTGCTAGCCCCTTGCTCTGCATGCTGTCCACACACCTGGACCCATCTGAAAGGAAAAGAGGGCTTTGGCTTCAGGGCAGAGACCTCCACCAGGGCCTTGACTCTCAGGATGAGACGGCCAGGAGCTTCCAGCCCAGCTGGGATTGAAATTGGAGGAGAGCAGGTGGAAAGGAGGGCGGCTTATCTGCATTTTATATGAAAAGTGCCATGCAGGTAACTCACATGGACACAGAGTCCAAAACAAGTTCTCGAAAGACGTGGGATGTGCTCATGGATTCCTCTGAGACAGCCAGGCAGGCCTGTCTTATTCCCCTCAGATTCACATCCGTAGCATGCTAAGTACGAGGGCCTCTGTCTCTGGGACGGTCAAGTGCATTGGTCGCTTTTCCTGTTGCTGTGACCAGCTTTGCTCCTGAGACAGGAAGGGTTTGCTTTGGCCCACCGCTGGAGAGGGCTACAGCCCATCAAGGGACACGGTCAGCCGAGACAGTGGCAGTGGGAGCTGGCAGCAAAACTTGTTTGCATCTTGGTTGCCAACCAGGAAGCAGAAAGCCCAGGGCAGAGTCATAGCTGGCAATCACCCTTTGGCCCCTCTGCCATAGCCCTACAACTGATGGCTGAGCCTCATGTCCAAAGGATCCTGCAACCACCCCACACAGCATCAGCAGCCAGACACATGTGTCAGTGGTGGGCATTCCACGTGGAGCCTCACCACTGAGCTTCATAGGACTCTGAGGTCCTTTACCCTTCCAGAATGAGTTGGAGACACGTACAAGATAAGCATTCCCAAGAGCACAGCCCTCCGCACGGTCCCTTCAGCCTCCTATGATGGGATCTATACATGTGTGCACAGCAGGCCTGGTGGTGATGAGAACAGGAGAATGACAAGTCATAGAGTTTCTTGTACACCCAGAGAGGAAGGTACAAAAGTGGATAAGGAGGGGGACCCCGTGTGGACCTGAGAACCAGGGCGGCCCAGCCACTTGTTGACACTGTCAACAAGAGCTCTTTCTCTCTGTAGGCTGCCATTTTTTGAGATGATTACCTGACCTCTTGGTGCAAAGAGCGACTGTTGGCATGGCCTTGCCCATTCCACCAAGAACAGGCTGCAAAAAGTCTCTGGGTTTGGACATCTCCAGGTGTTTATTTGGTTTTTCTTAGTTCTTGTTTTTAATTGGTTTCAGATGTGAGTACCCAATAGAGGCCCTGAATAAATAAAACAGATCATAAAATATGGCCAAGCAAAATGGGCAGGAGTAATCCCAGGGTGCATGGAAATGCACTTCCAGAAAGGCTCATAAATAATGAGGTGGAAACAGTAGTCTATTTTCCCTTTAATGGAAAGCCAATTAGGAACTCTCGCTGGACTGGCGGGAAGGAGCCAGGTTCCTTTGTTCTGTAATGAGCAGGTGGGGGAAGGGAAGCCGCTAAGCTTACCAGAACAGGGCAGCAAAAATGCACTGGTCACTGGGCCCCCGTAGAGAATGATGGGCAGGAAGAACTTCCGAGCTCATGCCCACCGCTCTGACTCCTCCCAGATGAGGCAGCACGGTCTTCAAGGCCAAGCTGTGCTGAAACAATGCACTAGTGGAACTGTGGAAGTCCACGGCAGGAAAAATCCCTGGGAACTCACACAATCTGGCTCCTGCCCCAGCCTTAGGAGGTCCTGAGGGAGCCCTCAGATGGTGTTACCACTCAGCAGCCATCACAGAGCATAAGACAGTCCACCCTGTCTGCTGGTGTCTCCTCACTCCAATGACTGTCTTCTCAAACAGGCCAGAGCCTTCACAGCACTTCCTTGGAGAACATTGTAGACCAAGGCAGAGCAGCCCTGGGGCCTCCCACACCACAAAGGAAGGGTTTCTTTGCAGAGTCCTTTAGCTGCTGGTGACAATCCCAGAAACCGTTCTCTTCAATCTCAATGACTTCCCGAGGTCAGTGCCTACCTGGTGACTGTAGAACAAGGTTATGGTGGCCTCTCCTGGCACCAGATCACATGTAGCTTAGTAAACGTGTAGGCTTCGGGGGCAGGGAGGCCTGGTGAGGAGCTTGACCACAGCTCTTAACAGCTGTGTGATCACGGTCAATGTTTCTTTCTTTTCCCATCTCTGTCTCTCTGTCTCTGTCTCTCTCTGCACACATGCCATAGCGTGTGTGCGAAGGTCAGAGGGCAACCTATGCTTGCTTCTCTTCTCACATGTAGGTTCATTGAACTCAGGTCATCAGGCTTTCCATCTGCTGAGCCATCTCTTCAGCCCCTTCAGTTTAACTGCCCTTAAATTGCAGGCATCTACAGTTGTCAAGGTGGTTGGGTGAACTTGGTTCTTACTTGACCGGGCTCAATAAACATCAAAGGTATCACTAGCAGTTAATATGACAGGAAACCACTGAGGCTGGCAGACCTCTGGACTAGCTCCTGTGGGTTCCTGTGAAGTCCACCATGGACTTAAGGATGTCACTGCTTAGTCTACACCAGGATGTCAGTTTTGGGCATGGGGGGAACAGTGCTCTTTGGAGACGTGGTTCAGTGTGATTCTGGTGTGATTCTACCAAAGAAGTAGCTACCAGGTTCAGCCACATCAGCTCAGGATGGAGAAGGAGGCCTAGAGACATCAGGGACATCTGTTGTGGCTTTCTGGGGAGCTGAGGGTCATCGGTGATTGTCAGAGGAACACAGACACCAGGGGAAATAAGGTGTTTGTATATATCCTTCTTAATCAGACTTGATCGTGCTTTTGCAGAGAGAGAAATCCACAGAGCACAGCAGCTCTGCTGTAAGAGCCTGATGAGGGCACGGACAGGAACACAGCTCAGATCCACCTGCAGCCATAGGGTCACAGCTCAGAGCCACCTGCATCCATAGGGTCACAGCTCAGAGCCACCTGCATCCATAGGGTCACAGCTCAGAGCCACCTGAATCCATAGGGTCACAGCTCAGATCCACCTGCATCCATAGGGTCACAGTTCAGAGCCACCTGCAGCCATAGGGTCACAGCTCAGAGCCACCTGCATCCATAGGGTCACAGCTCAGAGCCACCTGCAGCCATAGGGTCACAGCTCAGAGCCATAGGGTCACAGCTATCTGCAGCCATTCCTCTTGAGGAGTTTTGGGCAAATTTCTAAGGAAGGCTGTTTTTCATCACTGACATGGGTCAAGCACTGCCATTGTCCTGTGAGACCCCAAAGAATTCTTTGCAAATCAGGGCAGTCTAGAGGAAGATGAGGTCTCAGGAGAATTGCCTGGGAGTGTTTGCCACCTGTGGAACATGGCCTGACAGTTGTCAGGTCACTTGCTCAGCAGGGCAAGGAGAAAGGAGTGAGCAATTTGTGAACCCACCATTCTACCCGTGCACTTTGTCCCAGTTTCTCCATGATTCAGGTACAGAATCTGGAGTTCAGAGAGGTCATGCAGTAGTGTGTGCTGTGGACCCTGCATCCCATGCTGTTGGGTGGGTGCAAGCACCAGGAACCCATTGGTACAGACCCAAGACAACCAAGCAGGCCAGCTGTACAAGGACACAGCTGACATCAGCGTGGGACTTGGAGTCAGCAGGAACCTGTCACTCCACCCAAAATATACTCTTGGGGTTAGGGATGCATCTTAGGAGTTAGGAGTATCTGTCTAGCAAGCAATGAGCCCTGGGGTTTGATTCCTAGCACTGTATACAATCAAAAGGATCATAAGTTCAAGATCATCCTTGGCTACATGGTGAGTTCAAGGCCAGATGGGCTACATGAGATCTATTTTTAAAAATTACCCTTTTGGCAAGAGAGAGGTCCTGGCTTGGGCTGATTTGCCTGGCTAGACCTTGCCCGCGAGGGTCACGGTGCTTTGGGGGAGGAGCCATTCCAAGGAGTCTGTGCTGGCAGACCTGTAAGCAGGGTACATGTCCATTGGTCAATCAGTTGGGGAGCTGGAGGGCAGGACTGGATTCAAACAAGTGACCTAAAGGCCGTGTGGTGCTAGTCATGTCCACATACCACCCTCCACCTCCGGGAGCCTCGACTTCCCTGTCCAGTCCTGTGGCTTCCTCTTTAGTGACCCCGTGATGCTGGCATTGC